CTTTCTTTCTTTCTTTCTTTCTTTCTTTCTTTCTTTCTTTCTTTCTTTCTTTCTTTCTTTCCTTTCTTTCCTTTCTTTCCTTTCTTTCCTTTCTTTCCTTTCTTTCTTTCTTTTTCTTTTTCTTTTTTTCAAGACAGGGCTCCACTGTGTAGTCCTGGCTGTTCTGGAATTCACTCTGTAAACCAGGCTGGCCTCGAACTCACAGAGATCCACCTACCTCTGCCTCCCGAGTACTGTCCTGGAACTCATTATGTAGACTAGGCTGGCCTGGAACTCACAGAAATCTACCTGCTTCTGCCTCCCCCAAGTGCTAGAGGATTAAAACATTTGCCACCATGTCCGGCTTTATCTTTTGATTTTTGAGATGAGGTCTCACCACATAGCCCTCAAGCTTGCAATCCTTTCCGCCTTAGTTTCCCAAATAACAAACCTCCTAGTCCCCTAGACCTTTTTATTTGGTTTGGAACTCAAACTCCATAGCCTGGAGTGTGCTAGGCAAGTGTACTACCACAGAGCTACATTCCCTGCCTAACTTAATAATGCATTATTTATATATTGTGATTGTCTTAGGGGTTTCTATTGCTGAGATGAAACACTATGACCAGAAAGCAAATTGGGGAGGAAAGGGCTTATTTGGCTTACACTTCCACATCACTGTTCATCATCATAGGATGTCAGGGCAGGAACTCAGACAGAGCAGGATCCTGGAGGCAGGAGCTGGTGCAGAGGTCATGGAGGGGTACTGCTTCCTGGCTTGCTCATCATGGCTTTCTCAGCCTGCTTTCTTATAGAACCCAGGGCCACCATCCCAGGGACGGCCCCACCCACAATAGACTGAGCCCTCCCCGTCAATCACTAATTAAGAAAATGCCCTACAGCTGGATCTTATGGAAGCATTTTCTTCTCTGAGATGAATATAAGTTATGTCAAGCTGACCTCAAATTAGCCAGCACAAGCCTGGCAGTGGTGGCGCACGCCTTTAATCCCAGCACTCGGGAGGCAGAGCCAGGTGGATCTCTGAGTTCGAGGCCAGCCTCGTCTACAGAGCGAGCTCCAGGCAGGACAGGCACCAAAGCTACACAGAGAAACCTCGTCTCGAAGGGGAAAAAAATTAGCCAGCACAGTGATATAACCCCCAAATTATTTTTTTTTAGGTTTATTATTTTATGTGAGTGTTTTACCTGCATATATGTATGTGTACCCTATACCATGCCAGGGGCCTGAGGAGATCAGGTCTCTTGGAGCTGGAGTTACAGGTGGTTGTGAGCCATCATGTAGGTGCTGGGACCCGAACCTGTTACTCTGCAAGAGTAACAGCGCTCTTAACCCCAGAGCCATCTTTCCAGCCCCACTCCTTCTAAAATTCTAAAGAGAGACATAAGCATGGTGGCACATGCTTGTAATTCCAGCACCTGGCGGCAGAGTCGGGAGAACAGAAGTTCAAGGTCATTCTTGGCTACATAGTAAATTCAAGGCCAGCCTGGGCTAAGTGAGGTCTATCTGCAAAGTAACTAAAGAACTAAAGAGAATGACTTCATGGATCAAACTGGAAAGTTTTGTCTGTTTATCAACTTTTTCCCCTATAAGACATATTTCTTGAGGCTAGTGTAGAGCGCCCACCACAAAAGCTTGGGGACCTGAGTTCCATTCCCAGAACCTGCAGAAAAAGCCACAGAAGTGGAAGCAGGAGGAGTCCCGGGATTTGCTAGGCATCTAGTCTAGACAAGTTGGTGGCCTCCAGGTGCCGTGAGAGACCGTCAGATGGCTCCGAGGGCAAAGGTGCTTATGTCATGTGAGGAACTGAGTTCAACCACTGGAACTCACATGGTAGGAATAGAGGGCCATCTCCCGCCTCTTCTGACCTCCAAATGCGCTTTGTGGCAGGACCCTCCAACACCAAGTAAACACATGAAAAATAAATAAAATGAGAGACTGAGGAAGACCTCAGTACCATCCTGCAGGCAGGCACACAGACATGTACACGGTAACAACACCACATGCACATACATTGTCTTTCGGTTGTGTTTTGTTTGGCGATATCGTCTCACTATGAAGCCCCTAGCTGGCTTTGAACTCACTCTCCAGGCCACACTGGCCTTGAACTCACACGTACCTGCTGCTTCTGCCTCCCAGGTGCTGGGATTAAAGTCACGTGTCACCATGCCGAGCCTGACTTTCTTTTTCATTAACTTTTATTTTGTGTGCACTGGTGATTTGTCCGCATGTATGTCTGTGTGAGGGTGTCTGACCCACTGGAACTGGGGTGACAGACACTTGTGAGCTGCCATCTTGACCACTTAGCCGTTTCTCCAGCCCCACCCTCCACCCCCTTTTTAAAATAGTACTCCTTGGTCCCCATGTATTCGGTTTTGTTTGTTTTTGTATTACTGCTCATGTATTGGGGTGTTTGTTTGCCTTTTTTTTTTTTTAAAGATTAATTTATTTATTATGTATACAGCATGTATGTCTGCAGGCCAGAAGAGGGCACCAGATCTCATTACAAGTGGTTGTGAGCCACCATGTGGTTGCTGGGAATTGAACTCAGGACCTCTGGAACAGCAGTCAGTGCTCTTCACCGCTGAGCCATCTCTCCAGCCCGTTTGTTTGCTTTTTGAGAATTATTTTTACTTCTATGCCTGTGTACAACGTGGGTTCTGTGCCCACAGAGGCCAGAAGAGGGCGTCACACCCAGCTCCTGTGTGGTTGCTTGGAATAGAGTTCAGGTCCCCCGCAAAAACTGCTAGTGTTGTTAACCACTGAGCCATCTCTCCAGCCCATGTAACTAATTTCTTGATAACTGAGGAAGGGCAAAGAGCAAGTGTGGAGAACCTTTGAGCTTGAAGTTTTGATGGCCCTTTGAAAGAGCAGCCATTGCCCATGTGTTAAACATTTACAATACCCACGTAGTCTCTACAGTACCTCAGTATTAATAAGAGTTCCCCTCTCCTTTCTCTTGTTAAATAGTTGGACAGAGAGAGTCAGAAGATGTGAGAGAAAAAGACCGAGCTAAAGACATGGCCGCCAACTTTGCAGTTGTTGAAGACATCACAAAGGACGGGCAGGAGGAAGCGCCTGAAATCATCGAACAGATCCCTGCTCCAGAAAGCAACGCGGAGGAGATGGCCCAGCCCGCTGAGTCCCAGGCTAATGATGTCGGCTTTAAGAAGGTATTTAAGTTTGTTGGCTTTAAATTCACCGTGAAAAAGGATAAAAATGAGAAGTCTGATACTGTCCAGCTACTCACTGTCAAAAAAGATGAAGGGGAAGGGCCAGAAGCCACAGTTGGAGCGGGTGACCACCAGGAGCCCGCCACGGAGACCGGAGAGTCAGCGTCCAAAGAAAGCGAGCTGAAGCAATCCATAGAGAAGCCGGAAGGCGCCCTGAAGCAAGCACAGAGCAGCACAGAAGAAATTCCCCTCCAGGCTGAATCTGGCCAAGTGGCTGAGGAAGAAGCCAAGGATGAAGGAGAAGAGAAACGTGAGAAAGAACCCACGAAGTCCGCAGAGTCTCCAACCAGCCCGGCCAGCGGCGAGACAACCTCTTCCTTCAAGAAATTCTTCACTCACGGTTGGGCCGGCTGGCGCAAAAAGACCAGCTTCAAGAAGCCGAAGGAGGATGAGCTGGAAGCGTCCGAGAAGAAAAAGGAGCAAGAGGCAGAAAAAGTCAATGAAGAAGGAAAAGAAAAGACAGAAGAAAGTCCTTCTGAGCAAGCCCCAGCCGCCTCCGAGCAGCAGGAGCCCGCCGAAGGCATAAACGAGGCCAGGTTGTCCGCAGACTATGAGAAGGTGGAGCTGCCCTTGGAAGATCAGGTCGGTGGCCTGGAGGGATCATCAGAGGAGAAGTGTGCCCCGTTGGCCACGGAAGTGTTTGATGAGAAAATAGAAGCCCACCAAGAAGTGGTTGCAGAAGTCCACGTGAGCACCGTGAGCACCGTAGAGAAGACGGCAGAGGAGCAGGAAGTGGGGGAGGAGACCAAAGGGGACGTGGAAGAAATGGGAGAATCCCTGTCCCCTGGAAAACCAGCGGAGACCAAGGAGGACCCCCAGGAGGCCCAGGCTGCAGAGGAGCTGGTGAAGAACAAAGAAGTGTGTGTCTCTGGAGGTGACCATACGCAGCTGACGGATCTAAGTCCCGACGAGAAGATGATGCCCAAGCACCCGGAAGGCATTGTCAGTGAGGCGGAGATGCTGTCCTCTCAGGAGAGGATGAAGGTCCAGGGGAGCCCTCTGAAGAAGCTCTTCAGTAGCTCGGGCTTGAAGAAGCTCTCTGGGAAGAAGCAGAAGGGAAAACGACGGGGCGGGGGAGATGAAGAGCCAGGAGAGCCACAGGTTCAAACCGAGTCCCCGGAGAGCGCGGATGAGCAGAAGGGAGACAGCTCAGCATCCTCCCCAGAAGAGCCCGAGGAGATCACGTCCCTGGAGAGGGGGCTGTCGGAAGCACGCCAGGAAGGGGAAGCCGAGGAGGGAGCTACTTCTGATGGCGAGAAAAAAAGGGAAGGGATCACCCCCTGGGCATCATTCAAAAAGATGGTGACACCCAAGAAACGGGTCCGAAGACCTTCCGAGAGCGACAAGGAAGAAGACGTGGACAAGGGCAAGAGCGCCACGCTGTCGTCCACAGAGAGCACCATGTCAGAAATGCAAGAAGAAGCCAAAACTGTTGGAGACGAGCAGAAGCCCGAAGAACCGAAGCGCAAGGTGGATACTTCCGTGTCTTGGGAGGCATTGATTTGCGTGGGATCCTCCAAGAAGAGAGCGAGGAAGGCATCCTCTTCGGATGACGAAGGAGGGCCGAGATCATCGGGAGAGGATGGCCACAGAGCGGAGGACGCCGTCAAAGAAGCTGGAACAGATGCTGCCCCTGCCGGCACCCAGGAACCTGATCAGGCGCAGGGAAGTTCCTCACCCGAGCCAGCCGGAAGCCCTTCTGAAGGGGAAGGTGTCTCCACCTGGGAGTCGTTTAAAAGATTGGTCACTCCAAGAAAAAAATCCAAGTCAAAGATGGAAGAGAAAACCGAAGAGTCCGGTATAGAGCCGTTGGCTTCAGATGTCGAACCGAATAAAGAAGAATCTTGGGTTTCCATCAAGAAATTTATTCCCGGACGACGGAAGAAGAGGGCAGACGGGAAGCAAGAACAAGCCGCCGCTGAAGAGGCGGGCCCGACGGAAATCAATGAAGATGACCCTGATGTCCCAGCTGTTGTGCCTCTGTCCGAGTACGATGCTGTAGAAAGGGAGAAGCTGGAAGTGCAGCAAGCTCAGAAGAGGGAGGAGAGACCCCAGCTACAGGGGCCTGTGTATGTGTCAGAGGAGCTTAGTAAGACCCTGGTTCACACCGTGAACGTGGCTGTCATTGACGGGACCCGGGCCGTCACCACTGCCGAAGAGCGGTCTCCTTCCTGGATCTCCGCTTCCGTGACAGAGCCTCTTGAACTTGCCCGAGACGAAGCCACAGTGTCCACCGTGGAGGTCATTGCAAAAGACACCCCAACGGTCGCCCCGACCCTGCCAGAGGGCAGAGATGCCCAGGACGACACAGTGACCAGCGAGGTGGAAGTCACCTCGGAAGCCGTGACAGCTGCAGAAACCACAGAGGCTCTCCATGCTGAAGAGGTCACCGAGGCATCAGGGGCCGAGGAGACCACAGACATGGTGTCGGCAGTGTCCCAACTAACCGACTCCCTCGACACCACAGAGGAAGCCACCCCAGTCCAGGAGGTAGAGGGGGGGGTGCCAGATAGAGAAGAGCAGGAGCGGCAGACACAGGCCGTCCTCCAGGCAGTCGCAGAAAAGGTCAAAGGGGAGTCCAGGGCACCCGCCACCCAGGCTGTTCAGAAAGCAGGAGCGCTGGAGAAGGTAGAGGAGGTAGAAGAGGATTCCGAAGCGCCAGCTGTGGAGAAAGAGAGGGATGCCGTGCTGGAAGAACCCGTGCAGGGAGCTGAAGCTGGGCGTTCTGCACAGAGCCCTGGGGTTGTACAGAGCCCTCCAGAGAACCTCAGAGAAGTTCCCGAAGTCACCGCGGGTGTGGAGCTGAAAGAGCGGGTCACCCCGTGCCAGGCTGCAGAGCCCCAGCAGCTGATGGAACAAGCTGGAGCCCCCGACTCATCCGAAACCTTGACAGACAGCGAGACGAATGGAAGCACCCCCCTCGCGGATTCAGACACCCCAGATGTGACACAGCAAGACGAGGCCATTGAAAGCCAGGACAGTAAAGCCCCTGCCTTGGACAGGCAGTCCCAGGCCACGGAGGTAGAGGCAGCTCCCGCTCAGGAGGAGGGACCTTCGATACCACCTAACTTGCCACCCCAGGAAGGACATGGGGGGAAACCAGGAAGAGATGCTCCAGAACCCATGCAGCAAGAACTTTCTGTGGAAACAGTGCCCCTTCTGGCAGAGACCGAGGTGGGTCACGAGGCTGGCCACTCGGATGGTGAAAAAGTCAAAGACGAACCGTGTGTTGAAGGACTGGAGGCGTCCGTGCACACCGATGGACCCGACGGCCGAGAAAAGATTGCCGAGGTGGCACGTGATGGTGAAGGGATGGGGGCGCCGGAAGGTCAAGAAGACGAGAGCCCGGGAGTGCAGGGTCTTAGCCCGGAGGAGAGAGAGACGGGAACTGATGCCGAGAAGGAGAAAATGGAAACAAAGCCAGGGGAAGTGAGTGAAGAACATGAGCAGCCGACGGCCTCTCCTGAGCCGGAAGAAGCCCACCCGCAGCTCATCCAGACAGCTGACGTGTCCGACTCAGAGAGGGGGAAGGCAGCGAGCAGCCTTGACGGGAGCTCTTCTCTCCCAGACCAAGCAGGCTGCGCAGAGGTTCAAGTTCAAAGCTCAGAGCCACCAGCAACTCAAACAGCCGGACCTGTGAGCGAGGTTGCCGACACTGTCAAGATTTCAGAAACCGATGAAAGTCCGGAGTGTGCGGGTGCACCCTTCATACCAGCAGAAGGGTCCTCTGCAAAGGGTGACTACTGGACTCTGCAGCATGGAGAGGACACTGTGCCCTTGGGACCTGCGGCTCAGGCAGAGTCGGCCCCGGGAATAACGACGTCACCCACTCCCGAGGGCACCCTGCATTCTGACCCGCGAGGAGAGAGAAGCGCATCCCAGGAGCAGAGATCAGATGAAGACGGCGGGCAGGTTGGTGGTCCTGACGGCAGGGAGAGCGCAGGAAGGGAGGAAGGCCTCGGGGTTGAGTCTGAGCTCCTGCACCTGGAGAGTGAGAGCAGCAAGCTTGTCCAGAACGTCATCCAGACAGCCGTTGACCAGTTCGCCCGTACGGAAACGGCCCCCCAAGCCTGCGCCTCCGGTTTACAGGCACAGGTTCCCGTGGTGCAGGCTGACAGCCAGGGAGCCCAGCAGACGCTGGGCAATAAAGAGAGCCCCCATCACGTCTCTGCCCAAGATGACGAAACACCGGCAGCTGGGGCCGAAGAGGGGATTGCCCTTCCTGATATTTCCAAAGGCAGGAGCGAGACGTCGTCAGAAGAGATCCACGTGCTTGCAGTTGGCAGTGCCAGTGTCAAAGACCGGCAGTGTGAGGAGGTAATTGTCCCACTCGAGGCCAAGGGAGATGGGGACGGAGCCAAACCCATGCCAGCTGATGAGTGTGCCAAATTAGGAGAAAGCGTCGAGAAGCTGCCGTCTGAATCCAAAGATCAAAGGGGGCACGCTGCCGATGGCCCCCAGCACCAAAGCTCAGCCCAGGCAGAGGCCGACGCCTCGGGAAATCTAACCAAAGAGTCTCCAGACACCAATGGACCAAAGCTCACAGAGGAGGGAGATGCCTGGGAAGTCGGGGTTCAGGAAGGAAAAATGCCGACCGAGTCGGTCAAAGAGATCAAGCCCCAGACAGAAGAGGACCTACAAGAGCCAGAGGGAGACTTGGAAGAATCCTAAGATGTTGGGTAGGTAAACTTCCTTCTGGAAGGTTGGTTCTCTGCCCCACACTTACACAATTACATGGCAGATAATTGATTTTATACAGAACCTTCTGTTGGAAATAATTAGTAACTACAGTAAGATCTAGTTGATAATTATTTTTTTCTTTAAGTTTATTTTTATGTGCATTGATGTTTTCCCTGCGAGAGGGTGTCAGATCCTCTAGAACTGGAGTTACAGACAGTTGTGAGCTGCCATGTTGGTGGCAATTGAACCCGGGTCCTCTGGAAGAGCAGCCATTGACCTTAACCACTGAGCCATCTCTCCAGCCCCCATGTTTTTTGTTTTTGTTTCTCATCAAAATCCCACTAAATCTTACTGATGTCATGGAAACAATAGCTTTGTTTTACTCTCTCTCTCTCTCTTTTTTTTTTCTTCTGTTGAGACAGGGTCTCACTATGTAGTCCTGGCTGTCCTAGAACTCACCATGTAGACCAGGCTGGCCTCTGTCCCTCTCCCTCCCATGCTGGGATTAAAGAAGTATGCCACCATACCCAGCTCAGCCAAACTTTTAACATTTTAGTTTTAGGGCCTTGGAGAGGTGCCTTGGTGGTTAAGAATGTGTACCTGCCCTTGAGACGAAAAGAGTTTGATACCCAACACCCGTGGCAGGTAATGGGCTTTCTGTACCCCAATAATAGGTTTCTCCACTGCCGCAGTAAACCAGATCAAGCCAATTTAAAAGTAAAAGGTGGAGCTGGAGAGATGGCTCAGAGGTTAAGAGCACTGGCTGTTCTTCCAGAGGTCCTGAGTTCAATTCCCAGCAACCACATGGTGGTTCACAGCCATCTGTAATAAGATCTGGTGCCCTCTTCTGGTGTGCAAGCATACTTGGAGGCAGAATGTTGTATATATAATAGATAGATAGATAGATAGATAGATAGATAGATAGATAGATAGATAGATAGCATACTTGGAGGCAGAATGTTGTATATATAATAGATAGATAGATAGATAGATAGATAGATAGATAGATAGATAGATAGATAGATAGATAGATAGATAGATACTTGGAGGCAGAATGTTGTATATATAATAGATAGA